ACACTTTATCTCATACATTCCCATAGTGCTGGGAGTATGAACCAAAGAATGTCGTTTAGACCGCATTCCTCTTCCTCCAGGTTCTTTCAGAGTCTTCCTCTTGCTCCCTGGGATCCTTCTCTTAGCTGCCTGATTCAGCGATTTCTCTCGAGCGCTGCCACCGTATCCATGCTTCTCGAGGCGTCATCTTCTACATTCTGCCTCAAACCTTTGATAGCACGTCTATTCCAGCCTCACTGAACAACCACACAAAGTCTTAATTCTCAAAGTAGAGGCCCGCTGACTTGAGGAGGAGGATTCGCTTTGCACTGTCCGTCGTGTACACCAAGTGAATCTCGTAGTCAAGTCTTTTATTCATGCTTTGCTCAAACCCGCCTACCAAGAGCCAACTATATCTCATCTCCACCGCATCCCATATGCATCTATTCATTATGCTAAGTTTATGACTTCCTATGTTCTAGTCTCTTGTGTGTCAACCCCCGAATGTGATAGTTGTTCTACTCGCTTTGTTTAGACTCGTCTTGGTTTCCGATCATGCCTCCGCAGCTGCCTCGTCACGATTTATTTTCTTCGTGTTCAAAACAGTCCCTTTATCAAATCGTCTTCTTTTCGCGGATTCTGCTGTTGCATTACCTCCAAGTATTTTTAAACAATATGCACAGTTTTGCTAGTCTTGTCTTCTTCATGTCGCATGTTCACCAGATTTCTTTCAGTCAGGATATCGAAGATGGCTGGAATCTTGCATTTTCTTGTAATTCTTCCTGCGCGGCCAGTATTGCTGTCGATCTTCTGTTGCGTCTGTGCAATTTGTTCAGCTATTTCACATCTTTTTGCAGTCATGCTTCTACAGTCTTTTCTTTTACTTCATTCACAGGCTGATTTTTCTTACTGTTTCACCTACAGACTTCAGCTCATAGTTGCCTCATTTGATGCGATAAACTCCTGAGCAATCTAGTTTGTCAACCTTCGCGTGTTGCATCGACAGGCTGGTGAAGAATGTGCTCTTTTACTTTATTCTCACCTTGAAATTCCACTATCTCAGTAACGGTCGACATTTTTGGATCAGTTCACAGGAAGGCAGTAGTATACACATTTGGTCGTCCTGCCGATATATCATTTGATTTTCGTATTATCCTAGTTGTCATCTGCTCTAATGACCCCTATATTTTATTTTTATTAAACCTTGAAACTTTAGCTGGATATTGTGAAAATAGAATGAGGAATTCGGGAGGGCGACCAAAAATGGATATTATATAAGATGTATTCACCCTAATTCGTTAAAAAGTAACGAAACTCTGCTTATATACCAAAATTAGACAATGTAGTCGATTGTTATAGCAAATATACGTTTGCTTCATCGACAATCCCACCACAGAATGTGATATGGTAAAAGGCCCAAGTGCCCTCGTGGCAATGTGGCCGATTGGTTAAAGTGTCAAGCTCACATTCTGCGCTGTCACGATTCGACTCCCGCTGGGGGTGTTGATAAAACCTTGATTCGCAAGATCAAAACTGCAGTCCACCCTGGATAGGAGAACACTTTTTGAGAAAGCGAGGTTATGTTCAATTCAATGGAAACGTCAGCTCTCTCCATATCATTGTGGCAAAATTCAACTGCCAGTCCTTCATCACCTTAAACAAAATTGAGTGACTACATCTCATATTACTAATTTACTCTACTTATATACAAAAGTGGATACACCTGCCCTTGAGTGATCGAGTGAAATCACTAACTTAATCAAACAAGAGATGAATCCTACAGAGTAAGAGGACCTGGAGAAAGAGGATTGTCGATTGGATCAACGCTTCCAGCACAAGGGAGGTGGGGTGAGAATGCCAAAGGAGAGTGTGAATAGGTCTCAACTAGGTTTACATTAACATGTCAGAAAGTGTGATAATGATGGAGCGTTACGAGGATATAGGATAGGTGAATATACCAGGACAGAAGGAGAGATACAACAACTGTTCATAGGATCAACTTGACTTGTCTTTTTGACGAATTGTGGTATGATGCTAATACTGACAATGCCGACTACGATTCCGACTAAAATTCTGGGAGTGTACCAAGCTCACAGTCGACTAGGAATTTTGATTGTCACTATGGAATCTAGACAAGGTGCATTCCTCTACGCCTCCCTGAAAATACTACCAAGTTGCAAAAATAGGTCAAACAACTTCTATGTCCCATACAGACTATAAACTACACCACCCTGGTGTGTTTCTTTTAGATGTTTCCCAATTTTATTCTTTGTGCTTCGCCCTAGGCATATCACAATTTTTTGCATTTTCTCAAGCTCAAAATTATTTTCAATATCAAATGGCATAATATCTGGTCGAATTTAATATTACTTCTATCAAACTCCGAACGTCCAAAAGCATAGCTCTTCTACAGAATAGGTAATTATCACAAATACAGCTCATTTTCATTTATTTTTTGGTTGTCAGTGAAAACTTTCGATGAAGATTGTAATTCTGAAAAATGAACCTGACATCTCTTGAAGTTTATCTACCAGCTTTCTTCATTTAAAGATGACCTAAGGGCGAAATTCGAAACGGGATTCCACTAAACGCAGCTATTGGTTAGAAAAACTTATTGAGGTGCAGTCCTCCATCCGAGGAGCTAAGAAATGTAGCATGAGATATATTTTATGATTACATACAACCTTTTAGCTTAGCGCATCTCTTTTACATGCAGAAAGTACGATATCTCTAGCAACCAGACTGCCCCCTTCCCCCATGGTGGGACTTTTCGAACACTAATAATGTGAAGAAAACCTCGATTTCTACCTTAAAACGGTCGAGGGGATCAATTGAAATTATTACGCTGGTACTAGGGTCATAAACTTAAAATCTCTTGCAATAAAAGCCACATATACTTTACTTTACTGGCAACAATTTATCCATCTATACATATGGTTTATACATAGTTTGCCCATCCGGCATTATTAGACGACATCAAACTTATATGGTGAGCATATCAATTCGCTAACACCGAGCTTTGATTATGCAACACGTGATACCGGCATTAAATTCACCTCACCATCTTTAGTTAAGGCTGAAGTATAAGGTGGTATGATTGACCTTGAAATATGGACCCTACTCGAAATAGATACATCCTATAATGTATAAATAATTATAATTGTACCTTGAGATGTAAGACATTTTCTCTGCCATGCTTATCCATCGGAGAAATTGAAATGCAGGAAATTTGGTAAAGCAAAACGTAGGCACCAAAGATCTCTCAAGGCGACATGATGAGATAGACTTTGAAAGGTGAGGCTAAATGAGCTTTGATGATATTGTGAGGCCTATTCAGGGGATTGTCTTTAGACTCATCTATCAGTCATTAAATCACATTAAGAGGCCAAGACTGACTAAATACTTATTCGAAAATTACGGATATTGTTCTTAAACTACTTATATTGAAAAACTGACCATGCTAATGGCGATGCCTGCGAAACGTTTGGGAATGTACCAAGTCAATGGGCCGATGCTGGAAATCACGAATACTATGGCAGATGATACGGGACTAGGTACGTTCCACAAGGTCTCCCTGACGATCCGACCAAGTTGCGAAAGCTAAAGGAGATTGTGAACAAACAGAAGGCCATACCATCTCGGTCTTCATATCTGTGATCTCGATAGACAAAATTCTGTTGAAGGAAATATGCAATAATTTTAGCATATGGATTCATATTATTTATAATGCCTTACTCTGATAGTGCGAATCGAAACATTCTCGCTAAATACAGGACAATAGTCAGAATGTAAATATGAGCATAAAATCCTTTGATATATTGATGATCAGAATTACGAAATCTCTTTTTATATAGGATTATTAAAAAGATCGAATTAACTTGATAAAGAATGGCTCTATTGAACAATAAATCTACAGAAACACGAGATGAATAAACTTGCCTCTGAGTCTTTAACTGAAAATGAGATGGCGTAAAAAGCGCAGGATTTTTATCTCTCGTTTGCTTTGGCTATAAACTTCTCTTAGTAGACATACCTGAAAATTTCAATTTCGTGTGACTGAAATTTGAACTGATTTGAGTTTTGTGACTTACCAAGGTGGATTGACCTCGTTGTCCTAATTTGGTCCTGTTTTCAGGGCAACTTAGTAGAAGTCGCCTGCTATAGTAGTTGTCATAATTCCCAGCCTCAGACCGTGGACTTGGAACATTCAAAAACGTTTCGCTGTAATCATAGTCGGGGCTGCCATTATCCGCACAAAGCTACGAACTCGTCAAAGAGACAAATGAATTTAATCCCTCGGCACACGTTCTACCGAAAACGAACAGAAATAGGAGCGATGGTGTAACCGTTTTCGACAGAACGTTTGTCGAGGGATTGACTTCACCTGCCTCTTTGACGAGTTCGTAGCTTGGTGCGGCGAATGGCAATACTCCCTGATGATGCCGACTACGAAATCCGGCGAAACGCTTGAGAAGGTACCAAGCCCACTGTCTGATGCTGGGAATTATGATCACTACAATGACAGAGGACTAAGGACGAGGTGCGTTCTACCAAGTCGCCCTGACAACAAGACCTAGTTGCGACAACGAAGATAAACCCACTTCTATAAATTGATCATACCCGAAGCCACACCATCTTGGCCCTC